AAACCATCAAACCCTCAAACCTTCAAACCTTCAAACCTTCAAACTTTCAAACTTCATTAACCATTACCAAAAAAGCTTCAAGGGTTTCCATTTCCAGACATACCACAACATGCACACCACAAAATTACAAAGTTCACTACAACTCATTCCATTACCACCTAAAATCCCTTTCCAATCTCCATCATCCATTCCTCCAAAATCCTCTCTCTAATCAACCTCCCCTTGACAAATGTCTCAACACATTCAACGATCCACATACCCACAGGTGAGCAGCTTCATCTGGCACGTGGACTTATAAACGTTCCCATCGCTCCCGCAGATCGGTCCGTCGAGCGGCGCGAAGTCGCAGGACACGGGACAGTTCTCCCGATGCGCGGATATGTTGTTGCACGGTCCGAGGTGGGACAGTTCGATGCCAACGCGGCAGATCTCGACCCTGAGCATGCACTTGTTCAGGTAAGTGCGACCGTCCGTGCCGCAAACTGGGTCCTGATCGCCGGGACAACGGTGCTCGCACTTGCTACCGGACGACCTCAGGCAAGCCGTCTTCTCCGTGGCCACGGTCACGCCTGTGCAATTTGTTCACTGCCGATAATTACCCGGCGAACGCCGATTCGCTTCAGGTTTCAACGGTGGCGAACGCGAACCGGTATCAAGGGATCATCTTTTAACGGCTAAACCCCGTTGCTCTGAACACTAGCACTACCGAGCAGTTAAACCGCCCCCTTTATTTCCATTTTTTATGGAATCCATAAGAGCGGGTTTGTTAGAATTTCAATCGACTTGTGTTTTACTTTATGTGCTGTGCAATTGAATACTCTAATCGTTTCGAGAAACATTGGTGTGTTTTAAATGAAAGAAATCTTCGCCATTTTGATCCATTTAATTGTAATTTTTATCTAGGATTCTAAGTTTTTTCTAATGGAAACACTATGTAGGTTTAACGATTAACGTTATTCGTTACAGGTGAATTGAGATAAAAGTAGAGCCTACCCGTAATTATCCAGGATTTTCTAATGTCTGATACTTATAGCGTACGAGTATACTTCTTTATAGTTCGATAGAGGTCTATAATTTACAAGAAATGTGCACCATGGGATAATTGCGGCTAATTTATAAATGGTTGAAAACACCTGGACGTTAAGCGGAAATAGGACGTCCCAGGCTTACGTACATAGTCCTGTATCTTACATCGGTGATTCCATTAAATGGCGGCTCTAAAGTAAAAGTGTGTATATTGTCATTATCAATGTTTCGCGATTAAGTTGAGCGCGCGGTTTATTATATACGGTGGACAGAAGGTTTCCGCGTGTTCCCGTAGATTGTTAATAGTAAAATAAATCCGACGAGCACGGACGCCATGAAAATTGTACGGCGAAGGGGTTAAAAGCTCGTTCGAGCCGCGCGGGAACGAAAGTTAGGTGTACCCGTGCGCGCCGCGGACGTTGTAAAGGAACGTTGCGCGCCTCGTATAATCGCCGTTGGAGAAGAGAGATTCCAAGGGACGCGGACGAGAAACCGATCATAATTATTAACGGCCGAACGCGGCGCGGCGACCTCACCTTTTCCGCACATCTTCTTCCGCATTTCGCACTGCGACGCGTAGATCACACCGTCGCTGCCGCACACCGGCTCGCCGCCTGGAGGGCATATGCGGGGACAGGCGCCGGTCACGAAATCTGTGGACGTAAATTAGAATAATTTAACGTTGATTGCGGTTTATGTTGGTGGAAGGGATAATGGTTTATGCGGATGGTATATATGCGTCGTAACCTGTTGTGCAGATGTTTTTAGGGTAATTAAATGCGTGGGAATGCTGTCGGGAAGTGTTGGGAATTTGAGATTTTGAAAGGTTGAATGGTGGAGAGTTTGGGGGTTTGCAGATTTGAAAGTTTCAGGATTTTAAACTTGCGAAGTTTCAAATTTAGAAGATTTTAGGTTTGTAAACCTTCGGACATTCAGAGTGTCGAGCTTTCAAACTTTCAAATCTTCAAATTTTTAAGCTATCAAACTTTCAAGCTTTCAAGTTTCTAAGCCTTCAAATTTTTAAGCTATCAAACTTTCAAATTTTCAAACTTTCAAACTTCCAAACTTCCAAACCTTCAAACTTTCAAGCTTCCAAGTTTCCAAGCTTTCAAACTTTCAAACCTTCAAATCTTTAAGCTATCAAACTTTCAAGCTTTTAAACTTCTAAACCTTCAAACTTTTAAGCTATCAAACTTTCAAATTTTCAAACTTTCAAACTTCTAAACTTCCAAACTTCCAAACCTTCAAACTTTTAAGCATCCAAGTTTTCAAACTTCCAAACCTTCAAACTTCCAAACCTTCAAACTTTCAAGCTTCCAAGCTTTGAAACTTTCAAGCCTTCAAATCTTTAAGCTATCAAACTTTCAAATTTTCAAACTTTCAAACTTCTAAGCTTACAAACCTTCAGACCTTTAATCTGTAAAGTTTTCAAACTTCCGAACCTTCAAACTTTCAAACTGCCAAACCTTCAACCTTCAATATTTCAAGGTTTCAAGGTTTCAAGGTTTCAAGGTTTCAAGCTGTCAAGCTTTCAAACTTCCAAATCCTCAAGCTTCAATATTTCCTCGCCCCGATCCGCAGCACACGCAATTACACGAACAATAACACTAATTACAACCCGTGACGTCCTTTAATCAGCCAATTCATGCGCATAATCAATCACGGCATCATTAACGATCTATCAACAAAATAATGCGGTAGCGTATCGAATTCCCTATTAAACCTCTCATCGTGTAGGCTGAAAATCCGAAGAATAACCGTGCTGGACTAACAAGAAAAGCGTTAACAAGGAACAGGGGCGCGTTCAACGCCGCGGATCGAATGGTGCATGGCGAGCCCGAACATCGTCTCGGGGCTCGGTGCATTCCATCGTGATCGGGACGATACATTAAAGATTTGACATAATAACATTGCTTGTCGTTCAATCTCGCGGAACGAAACACGCCAGCGCTGCTCCCGTGTAACGAAGAAGAGCCCGTAAATCGTAAAACGGAATAACGTTTACTGTTACTTTGGTTTATTGCGAGCCATCAAGGCGCGCTCGCACTCTTCCGTATGAAAAGAGTACCCCTCGGGTTAGCGTAATCGTATACTTTTAATGACAGGGTGCAATCCAGATGTGCGAACGTACAGCCGACGCACGAAGGTGCGGAAGAGACGCGAAACGGTCCCGGGAAGAGAACGAGGGACGGAGATACCGGAGAATATCATGCGAGACAGCTTCCTTAGCTGCGTGGACGGTTGACGCGTGAAGATTCACAACGGATGTTTAGCACCCTCATTTGTCAATCACTTAAATTTCATTTAATTCAATTACAGGCTCCTTTATGTTCCTTTAATTCGCAGTTTGTAACTAGTGGTTTTATAGTTTCTGCGAGTTTATGGTGCATACCTCTGTTTCTCCGCACGAACTGCGAGAAAAGTGATACCGATAACTATTGGGAAAATAGATTTCCAACGTAGTTTGAATCCGATGTTATCAGTAATTAGCTTCTGAGTTCTCCTTAACTTCTGGAGAACTATTTACTTTTGTCACTAATCGTGTAATATTTTACTATCGACGATTTGTAAGAAACACAAAATTTTAAACTTTCAAATTTTTAAGCTTTCAAGCTTATAAACCTTCAGACATTCAAACTGTCAAGCTTTCATTCCAAACCTTCAAACTTTCAAGCTTTCAAACTTACAAACCTTCAGATTTTTAAGCTTCCAGACTTTTAAACCTTCAAATTTCTAAGCTTCCAAACTTTCAAACTTTCAAACTTCTAAGTTTACAAACCTTCAGACCTTCAAACTGTCAAGATTGCAAACTTACAGACCTTCAAATTCTTAAGCTTTCAAACTTAACAAAACCGACTCGACGTTAACAATGCTAAACCGATCTTCCGAACGTACCAAAGCATCGAAACTCCTAATGCAACTCAAATCAAACTTCCACCATCCTCTCACACTTTCTAAATACTAACAATTCACTCTTCAAACCTTCCCAAACCTTCCCAAATCTTTCAAAATCATCAAAACTACTGCCGATCCTAAACGAATGAAAATTCCCGGACGATCCTTCCGGCGCGATTGAAACATCCTGCGCCGAAAATATTCCACGAACCGCGGCTCCCATCCGAGCAAAGGTGAACGGCGTAAAACGTTAACGGGCCGCTTAAGATTCTGTCGAAACTCGAATTGCTTCCTGTTGACCCTGCTCGCGGGATATCTACGGGCGCGCGTTGCCCGCTCGCCGGTCTCGGTCCAGCGATCGCCGGGTCAACAGCACACGGGATTTACTGCGGTCGTTGCTGCGCGCCGGCTCGCATAATATGTAACAAATTAGAAAATCGAGGGGGATACAGTTAAAAGATAACCGAACGAGGCGCGGTCGCCGATACATCCGCGGCGCGGGCAGTCGCATGCTCGCGCGACTAATCGAGGGACGCACGGAACATCCTCGCGATTATAATTCAGCAGCCCTCCCCGGGCACCCCTCTCCCCCCCAAAGAACGCAGATAAGATCTCCGCGTCCCGCGAGGATCCCGCGAGCCGCCTCTTCCTCCTTTTTGTTGATTTATCGGCGATACCGTGGACGGCCCTCTCGATCCTCGCTTCCGTAACTTGCGCCGAAGATCGGGAATCTGTCCGTGAATTATTCCTCGCGACGGTGGCGATCGTTAGTTTCAATTGGATTCGGATTTATAGGGTCCACGAGCTGTGTAGAATGATAATTTGCCGAAGATCCAAGTGCCGGATGAGTTAACTTGCAAGTGAAAAACGATTTCAGTTGTTTCGAAGGGCTAAAGGTGGACGTTCAGTGAGAAGTCATTCTAAGGCTGATTTGAATTTTATTTTACGTGTTCATCAAGCATTGTCTGACTAATTAGTTAGTTTTGGATTTGTGAGAGTTGTGTAGAACGATAATTTGCCGAAGATCTAAGTGCTGGATGAGTTAACTTGGAAATGAAAACCGATTTGAGTTGATTTGACTGAAGATGGACGTTCAGTGAGAAGTCATTCTACAAGATGATTTGAATTTTATCTTTCGAGTTCCTCAAGCATTGTCTGACTAATTAGAAAACATTGAATATATCCAATAGAAGACTTCCGAGTGCAAAGGGTTAATGAACGATCGGCCGAATTATCCGCGATCAAGTGCCGAACACTCGGATCCTCCCTTACCCCATGGCTGAGCAACGAATTTTTCCCTATACCGTAACCACCGGGTCTACAGTCCTCGGGATACAATTTGCCTGGATCCTGCATCGATCTGAACGCTCCGATAATTCGCGGCTAACGCGAATCCGAGAATCCTCTGCGGGATTCGCGCAGATGCCGGACGATACGCATTGTAATGGGACGTTCTTCCTGCGCCGGTCAAAGGCGCCGCGCCGCGACCATCGCCGTTATTACGGCTCGCTTTTTTTCCACGTTCCGTCGTAATAATCGGGAGAGAAGTCGGGAAACGATCTTTTCCTGCATCTTCGCGGGGAGCCGGTCTCGGGCTTAATATAAACGAAGAGGAGGGAGAGAAACGAGGAAGAAGAAGGGAGGAACGAACGGGTTAACCCGGCCGTTCGTGATCACGACGATCACGATTTATCGATCACTCGCGATCGGCCGGCTCTTCTCGGTCGCCGTTACCGGTGCGTGCGCCGGCGCACGATATCTAAATTGAATTTCCGTCGAGCGCCGCCGCCGGTCAAGGGAACCCTGCGCATCTCGAGGATCTTTAAACGAAGCTCCGGGCTGGACGATGGCGGTAGCCGGTGTCGGCCATTGTTCGGGGGAATTTCGATTTAGCAACGATGAGGAAGAAATTGATTCGATTCTTTGTTATTCTTCATTGTTCGTACTGGGAACTGTTGGATGACCAACCTAATGACGCATAGATAAGCGTACTAGAACCGCTGCGTCCAAAATATCTTGCCTTGTTTTTCACACGTCCAAAATCCTAGATAAAATACACAAGTGTCTCATCCAGGACTAGTCATCTACAACGAGTCATCAGGTACCAAGGGCCACCGACATCCCCTACTTAGCGAAAAGCTTAGTATATAAGAATTGGTATCTCTAGGATAGCAGATTGTTATTCTTTCAACCCTGTTGCGTAGCGGTGTGTCCGAAATTTTCCGTTTCCGCGTCGTTCGATGTGTTATATCCGGAGTATACGTTGAAACGCCAAAATATAATTATTATCAACGAATCGGACTTCACGTCATTCACCCGGATCCCAACAGAACCTTCGTTAACACGTTCCGTAGCGGACCATTTTTTTAATTAAAATTAAATGCAGTATACATGATATTAAAATATCTATCTTTGTATCATCTTCAAATGAAATTTCCACTAGGATGGACAATTCTGTAGCATTCCACATTGTCGACAGTAAAATGGTACATGAGCTTAGAAAAAGTAAATAGTACGCCAAGGGGTTAATTTTATAAAGAATAATGAAGATGGACGGGATTACCGTTGATGAAGAATTCATCGAGGGTTTCGACGTTTGGACGGTCGGAGTTACGAATGGCATAAAAGCAATGAGCCGCGGTGAGATTCAGCAAAACCGAGCGCAAGTTAATTGTAAACCTCGATTAATTATATTCTATTCCAATTATCCTGCGTTTCCCGACGGGCTCTCCTTATTAAATGGAATAGAAGATGTCGA